AGCGTGGGGAGCGCTCCGCGCCGGGCGGGAGGGCGGGGAAGGGACAGGGCTGCGGCCTCCGCCCGGCGCCGGCTGCCGTCCTGGAGGGAGAAGGCTCAGTGGGCTGAGGGCGTAGCTTGCTCGCTGTTGAAGTGTGTTATAGCAGCAAAAGTCAAGAAATGAAGTGGGGTGTTCATGGGGAGCTTAAAGTGCACCGCTCCCGAGAGGTAGCTGGAACTGTAGCGCTGTATGGATTTTTTTGTCGTCTTAGCTTTATGATGTTTCTGAAGTTGATTTTCCTCTCTCTGAAGTAAATTGAAATGAATGCCTGCCTCCCTGGAGTGGGTGATGCTAACTGCCTGCATTGACATGCTCACCAACCTGTCCACGTTCAACTTGAAAGCACGAAATGTGGGCGTTTGCATTTCCATTTCACGAAGCATATGGGGGGAGGAGAGTCTTACTTCAGCCTAGTATAACCTGAGAAAAATCAGTAAAAAATCTTCTCTGCTTTATTTAAATTAAGGGTTGATCCTTTCTCCAAAAAGGACTGGTATGATGTCAAAGCACCAGCAATGTTTAATATCCGAAACATTGGGAAGACACTTGTCACCAGGACTCAAGGAACTAGTGAGTAGTGGGGTTTTATGCCGTAGAGGATGATGTATTTGTTCCATGTGGTAGCTCCAAATGAGACTCCATTAAAGAACTGCTGACAAATAGGTTTTGCTCATAATGTTATGAACCTGGAAGTTTGTTGGTTTTTTTTGAAAAACAGGTGCCTCTAACTTAATTGCTTGATTTGAGTGAGTTTTCTTCAGTTGACAGAGTTGTTTAAATAAATGAGCTTAGTTGCAGGGAAGTTAATGCGGTGTGGTGCTTGTTTGTACAAGAGCACCAAACCATGGATATGATACGGAAGGACATGCCTGAAGTTTCTAATGAACTGCTGTTGTGGTAACCTCACGAACTTGAGGAAAGTTACGAATTAAGGAGTAATTCTGATTGTCGCAGAGGGAGACATGGAGGCAGTGTTGTAGGAGACCTTGGTCATAATAGGATCATAATAGGATCATAATAACCATTGTGTTAGAAGAGACTGAAATTCAAAGCTTTTAGGTAAAGCGATCTCTCTGTTGAAAGCTGGAATTGCTAACAATGGGAACATATGTCGATGTATGACTGAATGGTAAAGGTTTTTCTATGATCTGGCACACCTTAGGAAAAGGAAACCTCCATTAAAAACAGGATGATGCAGATAGAGGTAACAGTATTTTTGGAAGGTTAGATGTGTAGAATCATTAAATAGTTGCATTACACTATTCTGGTTGTACTTAAAGTTACGAAGATGGTCGTTATTTTGAGCTGTAGGCATGTGAAACAAGTAAAGTAGGGGCCACTGTAAACCAAGTATGAGTCAGCCAGTGTTAAAATGGTTAATTATTAGAGGTAGAGGTGAAATGAAGGTACTTAGGTGTTTGTTGCTGCTTTATCTCTGCTGAGTACATGTGGCTTTTATGTTTATCTTTTCATTATTGTTCATAACTTCCAAATACTTTGTAACCCCTTCCACTTTAAAACAAACGACCTACTGCATGCTGGAATCTGCAATATACTAGTATTTGGGTTCAGTATCCGATACAATTATCCTAAAAATATTCCTCACAAACTTAAGAAAATATGGTATTTGGTTCTATGAGTTGATTTGATCTTGTTCAAGATACATATAAACTTCAGAGCTGTGAAGCTAATAGCATCACCTACAATTAGAAAATGTCAAATGGAAATTCAGTGTCTGATTTGAATAATACTTTTCTAACGTTAATAAAAGGTGTTTTGTTTTGTTCCATAATACAGAAATTGCCTCTGATGGCCTGAAGGGTCGTGTATTTGAAGTGAGTCTGGCTGATCTGCAGAACGATGAGGTTGCCTTCCGTAAATTTAAACTGATAACTGAGGATGTTCAGGGCAAAAATTGCCTGACCAACTTCCATGGAATGGACCTCACACGGGATAAAATGTGCTCCATGGTCAAAAAATGGCAGGTGGGTAAAGAGCAAGGTCTATGTTGTTGCTAGTGCCTGTAGGAAAGGAGGTAACCGCTGATGCATTGCAAAGCCGTGCTTGAAGTGGCATCAGCAGATATTAATGAATCTCAGGTGCATGGCTCTGAGAAACCTGTTTGTCACATTGATGATAAATGACTGTTTCTTTTTTAGACAATGATCGAAGCCCATGTAGATGTCAAAACTACTGATGGCTACCTACTGCGCCTCTTCTGTGTGGGTTTTACGAAGAAGCGTAATAACCAAATCCGCAAAACCTCGTATGCCCAGCATCAGCAGGTTCGACAGATTCGCAAGAAGATGATGGAAATCATGACCCGAGAGGTCCAAACCAATGACCTGAAAGAAGTTGTCAATAAGCTGTAAGCTTTGGCTGTGTTTCCTTTTTTCTTCCCTACAGTTTAAATAGTTTGTTGGTCAGTTGTCACGGAGTGCTTAGGGCATGCAGGTGCTTCACGTACTGTTTGGCAGAGACCAGGCAAGGTGCCTTTTGTGTTGAAAAGCTAATGTGCCATTTTCTTTGAATACTCTCTTTGTCTCTGCATCGTATTTGACTTCTGTCAGCCATCATGTTTGCATAAATGTAAAGTCAGGCTTGCCAGAGATTTTTTAATTCCTCTTTCTACAGACTAAAATTGTAATTGTGATCAGATGTGGCTGCGATTGTTCTGGGTTATTCTGACAGAATGAAGTTTTCAGAAGTATGGTGTTCGATAGCAAATTTGCTCTCAAAATGAGCACGCTTGCACTATAGCCCTAATGTTGCAAGGAAATTATGTCTTACAATCTAAATGTACTTGAAAATTGTAAGAGTGAAGGTAGTATTGATAATGCAAACTTCTGTAGAAAATTATGTATTCTTAAGAATTACTTTAAGCGCATGTTGCTGATGAAGAAGCAGGCACAGTTTTTAACATTCAGGTACTGATCTGTCCTCTTGACTTCTTAGGATCCCAGACAGCATTGGCAAAGACATAGAGAAGGCGTGTCAGTCCATTTACCCTCTTCACGATGTCTATGTCCGCAAGGTTAAGATGCTGAAGAAGCCCAAGTTTGAATGTAAGTCAATTACTGCACACATTTAGTGTTCTTAGAGGAGGATGTGGGAAGCTGGTACTTTAAAATGCATTTGGTTGTGGATAAAGATGTTAAAACAGCATCATAAGCTTAAGTAGCTGTAGTAGGAGAAAGGCTTCTCCTTCTAGTCTGACACTTGGCTTTCAAGCTCAAAAGCAGAGCAGTGATCGTTTGGTTTGGTGTGTTTTTGAATTCTTGCCTAAAACTGCCGCCGAATGTTTAAAGGCTTCAGCTTGGGAATGAATGATGACAAAATGTTTCGGTCCCAGATGACACGAAATGATTCCATTTTCCCATTTTCTGACGTTCCCATATAATTCAGTACTAGGTTCTTGACTTAACCTCTTTTAAAAAAGCTTTAATTTGCAGTTTCATTATGTCGGACTTATTTCACTGCTTGTTTTTGTCTGACTGTCAGTTAACGCAGGAGCATCTCCTTGCATGAGCTTTCTGGAATGGACGTGATCATACCTACATTAGATGTTCTGGTGGTTTACTTTGTATATGATGAACAATTCAATAGTGTAAAACTGCTTTAAGTAAGTGCATCTCTCACTATTTATAATGCTTCTTTTTAGTGGGCAAGCTGATGGAACTGCATGGTGAAGGTGGTGGTGCTGGAAAACCTTCTGGGGATGAGGCAGGCACCAAAGTAGAGCGTGCTGATGGATACGAGCCGCCCGTGCAAGAGTCTGTCTGAAACTAAAAATTGATTGAAAATAAAAGTTTTAATATACAGAACAATTTGGTTGCCTGTATTGCTACTGGACAATATCGGTACTGGATATGTGGATGGGTTTTTAATAAGGTAAACCTATTGTCTTGGTTTAAAAAAAAAAGAAAAGAAAAAATTGTTTTGGAGATCTGTTTTTCACGATTGCTGTTGCGAGATGGGTGGAACAAGGTGGGTTGTCCTTTTTGAAAGCTGGAAAGTACAATACCAAGGGTTCTGTATGTTGGTTTTTCCCAGTAATTTTTGTCCTCACGAAAGAAATGATGATGTGGCTGTGTGCAGAAGTTGTAGCTTCTGTTAAGTCGGTGAAAGGTGCCCCAAAGAGGAGCATTGTACAAGGCAAATGGGGTGCCACGCAGGGAATCAGTACTTCAGAACTTTTTATTATGAGGAAGTCTTGGGGATTTATCAGACTACTTACTTGAGAATTACATATGTGTATGTTTAGGCTTCTTGGTGGTAATTTATTTGATACCACTTCATGGGATAGATTTGGTCTCTGATACCCAAAAGGTATTAAAAGATCTTTAAGTTGTAATTTTGATTATGGAAGCAGTGTTAGTTTTGAGCAGTGTAGAAGTGCAGAATATGCTCAAGAGTAGGGTTGTGTGTAGTTTTATAACCTCTATCAGAACTGAGGAGTAACTGTAATCCCAGGTGAAAAACCAGTGGAACTTCAGGGGAAAAAAATTCTACCATAAAAGGGCAAGAGTCTATATTCTGAAAATAAAGCACTTAAAAGTACCCAGCAAATTACTTAAAAGTGCTTTTTCCATTATCTTGACAGAACATATGTTTTTGCTTGTTTGGCTCGTGCCAGCTGAGAAAATGTAGAGAGTTTGTTTTTCTGGCTAATATGAGGAGTGTTTTGCACTAGCAGCATGTTTTGTTTAGAGCCGGGCAACAAACCTAAAGTTTGTGCTATTAAAATGTTGGCAAGTTTGTGATTGACGACCGGAGAACACAACGGTGCTGGTCTCTTTGGGGAGGGCACAGAGAGAGTGGTGGCTCTTGCAGTCAGCTGTGAAAGAGCTTAGAACAAGGAAAGGAGGAAAGTAAGGAAATGGTACTGCTGCAACAAAGATACTGGGGGGAAAAGCAGAGGGAGGCTACGCATGAGGGCGGTGCTCTTCAACGGCAGGGATTTTTTACCTTTTCCTAGTTGAGAATTCTGCTTTGGAGCACTTAGTATGCAAAATGAAGAGGCTGATCTCTAAGCCTTTATTTGGAAGACTGCAGGTGATGTGATCTCATGTTGTAACATCAAGTTACTAGTTTAATGATGATATTTAGAATAGCCTGTGACTTAATATTCAGATAACTATATTGGATTGTAAATGTAGGCCTACTTCTGCTTTTTCCAGCGGAGTTTTTTTCACTCTCATGATGCTGAAACAGGAGAGAGGAAGAGTGCTGCTTTTAATCTGCTTTGCTCTTCTCATCTGTGCTGTTGAGGCAGGTGTTATAGACAGTCGTATTTTTGAAGCCATAAATGGTAACAAATGCCCCTTCACTTCTCTAAGAAAAATCAGAAATTTTCACTGGAGTTAAAAAAAAACAAACCATGATTTTGGTAAGTGTGGTGAGGTTGAAAATCGTTGCACCTACTGCAGTAAGGTTTAATGTAGGTGTGTACACATGCATATATATATGCATATAGTTAAGCCCTGCATTAGAGGAAGAACTGCCAGAGCTTTCTAGTAATGGATGTGTGTTGGCAATATTTTCTCTGCTTAGCAATAATTGCGTGAAACAAATCCGAAGGGACTGCAACTGGCCTGTACTCTGCAGACTAGGAGAGTTAGAAATACTAAGGTGTCGTTTCTGACCGTGTTTCTGAAAACTTGTGTGTCTTTTATAATGTCACTTTTTCCTTCAGCTGTACGTCTGAGGAGTATAAGTTGCAAAAAGGCTGGTCCAAGAGGATTTGGAACAAAAACTTGCTTTTTTCAGGTTGGGTTTTTTTCATTTCTGTTTTAGAACAGCAGACTGCTGGCATTACCACGTAGGGGCTCTGGGTAAATGTATGGCTTTATAAAATCATTTCAGATGGGGGGGAAAAGTGAGCAGGAAGGAAAATTTTGTGCATCCTCTGTATTCTCTGTACAAACATCAGCTGAAAGATGATGTGTGAATAGCAGCAATCAGCAGAGCGTGGAACCGCTAATCAGCTCGGGCTCAGCCCATGTCTTTGTCACAAGTAATCTCGCCACGGCAAGAGCAGAGCATCACTGTCTTGGGTGATACCCTGGGACAACAGCTCCTTGCTGCAGTCAGCAAATATCATAGATTCTGCAGGTGGTAAGTGTGAAACCTGCCCCAGCCCGAAGGCTGGAATAAACTGTGTTAAAGCCATCAGGATTCTCTGAGGTGTTTGGATTACTTGTAAAGGGATGCGATATTACTGTATTGGTTTGGGGGTGGTTTTGTTGTTGGTTTTTTTCCCTTATATAAGCAGAATGAGATCTATAAAACTGTCATGTTAAGTGAAAGCTCAGCTCTCCATAGCATGACAATAAAAATGCCATCGTGACTTAATTATAAAAATTTTATTGGTTAAATACATTCTTAATTTACAGAGGTACCATAACAGACTTACTGGACTTAACAAAGATTTATTTAGGACACTGTTAATTGTACACAGAACAAAGATGTCTTCCTGAAGATATTTCCAGAGGGTAGGTCAAACAAAATGTTCTGATAAATGAGGCTTTTATTATCACACTAATGTATGGGGGTATAGCTGAATTTCAAGGTTACAGCTGAAATTTGCTACTATATTGCAGTTAGGATTTTTATTCCACCTCATTATCGGGTTTTTTTTGCAGATTATGTATTATACACCTTAGGAATTTTATGTTATGATCTGTATGCAGTTTCATGGCGATACTAGGCATCAAGAAAATCCCTTCCTGTAAAAGCCAAGCATCTCGCTTGTTTCAGTTTTAATAAATACGCAGGTCTAGCTGCCTGCAGTAATGCAAACAGCCTTTAGATGGTACTCCTTGCTCTGAATATAAGGCTTTGCTGCTCTTCCTGCCCTGCATAATAGGGAGGAGATGATTAAAAGAAAGCAGAGTGGTCTTACCTACTGACAGGCACTGACTTCAAACATTCAGTGGAAGTTACAAAAACAACTGGTCAATACACAGTTATAAAAACGGGGAAGAGGAAATCAGGGAAGAAAATATAAAAAATTCAGTTCTACTTTTGAGACTTGTATCAAAATCTTAGAAAACTGATGGACAAACAGACAGTAAACATCATACACTTAAGCCTCATCCACCATGACGAGGATGCGGTATGCCTTCGCAGGACCTGGGTAGTCTCTTTGTTGGAGTGGGCTTTGCTCAGTCCTGCTGTTCTCCGCCTGCTGTGCGCACTGGGGGTTCGGGAGTTGTGCTGGCACAGGTCGTGGTGGAAGAAGCCCGTTTTAATAGGGTGGTCCACTGAAAGCTTATGGTTGAAGAGTCTTGAGTGGGGGCTTGCAGGAGTCAGGAAAGCTATATATCTATGTATTTGTTTCCTTGGATTGCTCTAGAAGGAGATAGCTGTTTTATTGGAATAAACAAGAACCTTTGGCATCTCCTGGTAGGAAAGTTTGGACAGTGGGAAGGGTTGTTGTCCTCGGAGGTGGACTTAGGTTACAGTTTGATCCCATAGGAGTTCTGGATAGGCTTGTTGGGGACGGTAAAACTGAATAATAGCTGTATAAATTGTGCTATTTCTAGAATAGCACATAATTTATAATTGTTTTTATAATGTTAATCCCCTTCATGGAAGTAGAAATCCAATTCTCTGCTCATTAAAACTTTGTGTGATCTTCATCCCCCCGTTGTGTGAATGGTATTGGTGCAGTTTAAATATACAGCACTTCATGTTCATGAAGCTTCTTGAGAAAAAAAACGGAGGGCTAAAGCCTGTGTCTATATCTACAACTACTGTGGCATAACAATGACTCTGCAGAACAAAACGGTGCTTAGGACCTCACATCTGTGCTGTGTGTTCCTCCAACTCACTTCAGGTGAGCTCCAGTCTGCTACTGCGACTGGATGCCCCATCCCTGCTGCAGGGCGGTCCTTCAGTTCAGTTTTGGCTGTGCGCTTGTTTCTGGCTGCTGCGATGGGGATTAAAGCCTGGGGCGTGCGGCAGGGAGGGCCACCCTCACCAGTTTGCTTAGATGCACCCTGATCTTTTTGGATCGATACTAGATATTAATATAATATTAGCTATTAGGAAGAAATTCTTTACTGTGAGGGTGGTGAGGCACTGGAACAGGTTGTCCAGAGAAGCTGTGGCTGCCCCATCCCTGGAGGTGTTCAAGGCCAGGCTGGATGGGGCTTTGAGCAACCTGGTCTAGTGGGAGGTGTCCCTGCCCACGGCAGGGGGGTTGAACTAGATGATTTTTAAGGTCCCCTCCAACTTTGACGATTCAATGATTTGTTGCTGTAATACTTGGACCTCCTATCGATAAAGTTGTAGGCAGGCACATGACCTAAATCAAAACTATCTCAAGGTCAATCATGATGATTCTAGTTTCCAGTCTCCACCCACCACTCAACGGTTGGCCCTTTTGCAACCTGAACTTCCAGACCCACAAAGAAAAATCTTGTAAGGGTATCTTGATACCTAGTGACCGGCTTCTCTCTGAAGTAATGACTCACGCCAACAGCTTACTGGTTTCTTTCTGTTATATAGTACAAAAGTGATGGAACACTGTCAGCAATGAAAGTGCCAAATGCAGCATAATTTTTTTTCTATTCCAGTCTGATAAAGTTACCAGTTAATCAAGATGCATTTAATTATTTTGTCAGAAGCTAAGTGTTGCAAAAAGGAATTTACCACCAGAATTTCCTATAATGTGAAGCTACCTCAATCATGTCTGCCTTAGTTTGTTGTCCAAGTCGTACTGCTGCTTTTTACTACATGCCTTTGTTACAGCTTCTTGCAGTAACCTCCTGCCAGTCGTGTTTTCCTTAAGGCCTCGACAGACCATTTATAATGATGCTCAGTATAGTTGGTATGTGGTAACAAACTGAAAACTAATCCCATGTCTGCTGAAAGCTAAAACCAAGGCTGTATAATACCCTTCATGTTAAGGCTAGGAATGGTGTTACTGAAGTATGTTCCAGTGCTTGAGTGACAAATGAAATGCGGACTGAGTGAAGACTGGCTTTCCACTTACATGAAGGGGGTGGAGGGGCAAATAGTTGGAATAGTGCAGCTACTGCACAGAGGGGATCTGAGAAAGCTCAGTAAATGCTGTCTGTCATGACTGACTTCAGCTGGGAAAGAAGGGTATGACAGTGCTCAAACAACAGTAGAAAAATCGAAACCTGTATCTGGAAAGGATTTGGGGGGAAGGGAGGAAGGTCTAAGATGATTCATGCCAGTTTGAACATTATTCGTTAAGAGGCAAAATACTTTTGTGATCTTCCTGTATGAGCAGCTTGGGCGAAGAATAGAAGAATACTACACAAGGATTTGCTTCTGAGTTTTCCCTCTTACCAGTACTAGATTTGATATTTTTCTACTATGAAATATCAGTTATCTTCCTTATCCTCTAAGTCATAAAACAAGTGGATTCTACTGGTAACGTGGAAGTCAAGCACTAATGAAACCTGATTATCAAACTTGATCTACATACTGAGTGCTGTAATTATAGCTTAAAAACAATTTTTAAAATTTGGATTTAAAAAAGTTTTCAAAGAAGCCCAAAGCAGCTTACTTTATGCAGACTTTGTGCATGATAAATGTAATACCAGATAGTAAACATACTAGAATGCTATTTAAGTTAAAATGCTGTTGCACCACAGTATTTCCCTTGTTGGAAACAGCTAAAAGTCCTGCTTGTATTTGCTCTCGGAGCATTCATAAAGCATGACTACATACACTGTCACGAAAGACTCAAATTTTCTTATTTGACTTCAAGACACTAGTATGACTGTCTAGAAAAAGTAGTGCAAAACATTGATAGTCATAACACGTTGATGTCTTTGCTGTGCCTTTAGGATAGAAAACATTCTCTCCCACGTGTAGGAAAAAAATGTAGGGAGTACAAAGAGAGGCAACACTTCATGGTGTCTTTAAAATCTGAACAAAGTTCTTGGGAAATATCCCAGACTTCCCTTGTATCTCTCCACACATCCAGTCCTCGTCTACAGATTCCAGCTCCGTTATTGTATCACCTGCCTGTAAGAGAAGGAGTAACGTGAGCCATGACAGCTTACTGTGCAATGTTAATGCATGCATAGCCGATGTTATTCAGAACCAATTATTATCAATCAAATAGAAGAGAAGCAGGATATGGCCAGTCTCTTCTGTTGGTTGCATTTCTTTGAGGTCGTTTGCCAAAACCAGCTGAAGCTTCTTTTAGGGTAAATTCTTATCTATGCTGAAAAAACATTGCCTTCCGGAAGGAAAAAAAATAGCACTGCTGGGTAACTTCCAGTGTTGCTTAAGCTCTCCAGGTAGGTAGGTCCATTAGAGAGCTGGCTCACAACCCCCCTGCCTTGTTATTTGTGTGTTTCCCTGCTCTGTCATCAGGGTTTCTTTTCTTAAAACACTTCAAAGCTGCTACCTTCCCCTCCAGCACCTGGAAACTTTCCTCTTTCCTTTAGAAACTTTCCTTTCCCAAGAAGGAAAGCAATCATTTAAGTAGCTCAGTGTGGCTGTTCAAAATAAACTGCAGCTCCTGTGTTCGATCCTTGTTCCCGTTTTCATTGTCCCATGCCACACCCCTCAGCTGAAGTACTGTCACGGCCCTGGCCTCTCTTCCGGTACCTCTGTTCCCCTTTTCGGGTTTAAAGAATCCTCTATCCTTGCAGCATTGCAAGCTACTAATGCTGAAACTAATTACTTTGCTAGTTTTAGAAGAGAAAATAGTGTGTTCTAGCTGATAAACACAATTTGGGGCCTGCTGTGAAAGTCTGCAGTTTCTCGGAAACTTGCTTTTGAGGACACAGTTAGCTAAATCATGACTTTGAATCTACAAGGACAAGCTGTTTTTTGTTAATGCTGCTTAATATTATCTGGACATCCAGCAAGTATTTAATCTCTCCCCTTGCTCCCATGGTAACTATGTATTGTGCTGCTAAACTTTTAGCTTTTGCTGCACTAGGTGTCCCTCAGAGGCAGCACTGCTGTAGCACTGGCACTCGTACTATTATCCTTCTCAGTGCTGTCTTTCTAGTTAAAAAAAGAGGGTCCCTTGACTGTATCAACTGATCAAGAACTGAATGTACTGCAAAATAAGGTTTGTTTGTCTTGTCATGTTTACTGGATCAGGGAAGTCAGAGGAATTCTGTAACTCCTGAACTCTTTTCAGTGTCTACAGTGATGATTTCACCAATAAGAAAGAGAAGTAGTAAGGGCAAAAATCTTTTTAGAAAGACCATTTATCAAATCTGTTAATATCTATGCCTATTCTCTGTGCTTTGCTCTTTCTTGTTCCAGGCCTATTTTCACAGTGGATAAATCCTATTTTTTAGCATTCTTTAGAGTGCAAGACCTTTTGGAAAATTGGGGTGAAAGTGGTACTTACTTTGAAGGAAAGCTCATCTTCATTTTCTCCATTAAAATCATAGAGAGCTTTGGCTTTTCCTTTCTTCCCTCCTACGGACTGTGACAGCTCTGCCCTGGCTGCAGAACATGGACAAGACAGGTTATTTGGATTAGAGTGAAATAAATGTATTTCTGGAGAAGTCTCCTGTCATTCCTGTGTTTTCTCCCCACTAGTGTGCTACAGGGTGTCCAGTTGTTATTACTACTGCTACTTAGCAAATTCACTTTCCTACTGGAATAAAAATCTCTACTGACACCAGTTCATTTTACAGTACTAACACATTCTCATGGTTCTGCTTCTAAGAGGACTAAATTTAAAGTTCACTTACTTGAACTTTCCAATGGTGATATCTAATAAAAGCTGTCTTTTTCCTCTTTGCACTTGAAGATGAAGCGGCACTCGGTGTGTGCTATTTGCCAGTTAGGTGGAATTTATTTCCTGTCAACTTTCACTCATGGCTTTACTTGCAAAAACTATGGGAAAAAAATGTGATTTTCTGTGTCCTCTGTGAAGGTTTTGACTGCATTGATTTGGGGACCAAACAGAGGCTTGAGGAGAGCAAGCAGCGCTCATTCCTTGCTGCAGCAAAGGGATTACAATAGTTCTGTGCCAAGACACAGCAGTTGTAGTTATTTACAGCTCTACCAACTCTTAAGCTGTGCAGCAGTGTTTTTCTCTTCAGCTGTGGGAGAACCCAGCTCCACACACACCCCCCCTCACCCCCAATCTTTTGTGCCCCTGAATTCCTGCTAAAGGCAGCTAAACCAACCCAGAATCTGTATCACCTCCCAGACTACTTACTGACCAGAGCATTATATTGCCACTATTAGAGAGGGTGGTTCAACACTTGGTTTAGCTTTTGGATATTAAGGACTGTGGTGGTGTGTGGCTTCTTAATGCAACGGAATAGTTGGGTTCTCCCAGAACTGTCATGACTGTCACAACCCAAGGAACAATAAATTGTCATCTAGTAGGAACACTGTACCTGAGCAGGTCTGAACAAAAACTGCTGGGAAAATCCCTTCCTTTTCATTCAGTCTTCCTCTATACCACTCCAAATCTACTTGTTCCAGTATTTGGATGTAGTCTCCCTTTTTAAAGGATAAGTCGTCTTTGGTTTCTGCTGTAAAATCATGAAGCGCTTCACACCACTCTACTGAGTGTCTGTTGCTCTATTCAAGTGAACAGAAGAAATGCATTAATTTTAGAAGCGTTAATGGAGCCCATAAGCTGATGGATACTGGCGAAAGCAGCTGTACAGAGCACGGGTGTCCTGACTTTCTCTCATACAATAGTGTCACTGCAGATGTAGACTAGAATGGCATTCCAGCAATTACCACAGAATTTCATCTAGGCTCAGACGCATTCCTTTTTATCATTGGTGGCAGAGGACAGGATTAATAAATTCAAAATTAGACCACTGCAGCAATACTTAAAATAGAGCTAACAAGAATTTGCTTAAGCACAAAGGATAAAAATTTACTTATGTTAATTTGCCAGAAGCTATGAATTCAATCAGTTTAGGCCAACTGTCAGAATTCAAGATGTGCCCATGCAGCACTGTGTGCTGCGGGAGTTGTGTTACATTCAGGTTTAAAGTTGTGCAGTTAATCTGACGTTATAACAGAAAGTCTATGTAAATCTATGAAACCGCTATGTAAATTTCGCCGCTCACCTATACAATTTTATTACCTGAGGAAGGGAAGAAGAAACCTCCACCTTGTTCTGCAGTGCTGCTCCTGTACCTACATAAGTGAAGGACAACTTAGAAGACCCGCAACGACTATTCAGAACATTACTAATGATAGAGATTTTAGATATTCAAAGTGATTATTAAGAATAACTTCTTAAGAAGTCCTACTATTCCTTTTGATTTTTCTTATCTGTCTTCTCTCCCTTTCTACCTCCTTCCTACATTCATTGTCCTTTTAGACTTTTCTCCTATATGTTACCTATATGCATGTAGTACAAAACCATGTTGTGGAAGATTTTTGCAAACATATTCATACCTGTTCCAGGCAGATCTTCAATTATTTCCACAAAGTTCAAGGGGAAAATTCCAGACGTGCCTCTGAGTTCTCCTTTGGCCCACTCTTCATTTACATATTCTTTAAGGACAATAGTTTCACCTTCTGAAAAACTGAGCTCATCTTTCTGATCGCCAATATATTCAAATCGTGCTACACATCTTGGGCCTCTGAACAAAAAAAGAAAAAGAGAAACTTACTTTGCTTATTTGTTATTATTGTCCACTTAATAATAAGGCAGCATGGTGCAAAATATGGATTTATATCGTTAATTAAAATGGTGAAAGAATACACTGAAAATAGAACAGGTAGAAAATTGGGGTCTAGACCCGATTCTTATCTCTGCTTTCTGAGGAGGATGAGTATGGAGTCTGGAGGAATTGGACACAACTTCTGCATCCCAATTCCTGACTGTTACAGTACTTAGCATAAGACCCTGTTTCTTTTCCAAACAACAACAGCAACAAAAAAACCCACTTTATTTCTGGGCTACCTGTCTCATTTTATATTTTTGCCCATATCCAAGTAAGTGTCAGGATATACTTTTGTTAAGAGTTTGATGGGTTTTTGAGCTAGCATCCAATTTAGATGCAGTCAAACACAGGTGGAGGGTGGGTGTTGTGTATTTGTCCCAAATACATGGAGCTTTCATAGGGGGAAGCTAGTTTTTATTTACTTTGACAAACTTTATTTTGTAAAATCTATGCCAGGCGTGAGGAAATAAATTATCTGTCACAGAAAGAAACATCAATGCAAATTTTATATAACTTGGTATAATACTAAAAAACCCATTTTTTCCTCATTGAAATAGATTTAATAATTTAATAAACTATTAAAATACATTTAAGAAATTACTGTAACAAAATTTTTGATTTATCAGAAATACCATGCTAGAAAAAAAGTGATAATAGACTTTAAATCTTTCTACAGCATCATAGCATACAACCAATGTAAGAAGCTTGATTCCCACCCTTGTCCCCCACTCATATCTTTGCAAAAGCTTCAGAACAGAGCTAACACTTTCTGTTTCTTTCTCAGTTGCAGAAGCAACTTTTAAAAATAAAGTTTTGGTTAAGACAAGCCAAGCTCTGTCTGAAGAACAAACTGAATGATCCCATTGATACTAGTTCTGCCTCTGCCTGAATTTGCTTTAATTACTACCATGAATGACTATGAAATCCAATCAATCGTCATTGAGTAAAAATGGTATGAAAAGTTGTTCCTTGCCCACAAAGCTTAGTACAAGTTGTTTGCAAATCAGAAATGAAAGTGCTTGAAGCACATTTGATAATTTGATCTGGGGAACTTTAGATTCACCTGTGTAGTTACACACTTTAAGGTTTGAGAGATTTCTCTACTTAAAGTACAGGTACATTCTCTCCCATTTTATCTTGTTCTTTCAAATAAGTAGGAGCCCTACCATGTTACATCTTACGAGGATATTGAAAGAAAGTAACAAGGCCGGGAGCAAAGAGGGGAGAGTGCAATGATGCTGAAGTGAATCAGGTTGGTTCACAGTTTCTGTAACCAATTTTCGTGAAAAATTATGGGAGATGCTCTTCTAAGAGGAAGGAAAGCAATCTACCACTTTTTTTGAAGCCAAGAAGTGAGTTTTTAAGGCTTTTTTTTACCTGAATGAGTCTTATTAAAACATCATAAACTTTCAGTTTTGAGATCTTAATTTTTAAAAATGTATTTTGGAGAAGAAAGTGTTAACCATACTAACCTCAGCACAGATAGCACCTGCTTCAAAGTTATCTTTCTTTTTACTTCCTAGTAAATCAAGATGAAAAAGAAAATAAGATTTATCTGACTCACCTGATACACTGTGATGAACAGGGTATTTTTTTCTTGTTGCCTTCTTCTGGAACATCAATCTAATAAGACAACAAAATAAATTAAATCTGCAATTTCAGGCTCATGGCAACATAACTACAATAAACTTGGAACTGGTTAAAATCATCTATTTTTCAGGTAAGCATCAACTCCAGTTATGACCTCCATGTGATGCTCTATAGTCACTGGCATGCTATGATATATGTCTATATTAACGCAGATGTATGCCTGATTTCTCATTTTTCTATTTCAGGCAAACAAGGAGCACTATTTAATGTTTTCTTTTATGAAGATGGTTTACCGTTTCTACTTCTACCATGAGTGATTGACAGAATATGGGACCGGATGCTACCACATGTTGTTGCATTTAGCTCCCAGCTTTCAATTGGTAATTGCTCTCTATTATTTACTAGCACAATATATCACAATAGACAAAATTATAGTTTACACATATCCTTTCTGGGCTTTGGTAGCCAGCTGTCCCCCAAACAAAAACACATCTCACAAATCTCACTGGAACTGGAGAAGTACAATTTAGAAAATCAATACACGGATATATCAAACAGACAGCATTCAAGTCCTTTATCATAAAAGGATTTCAATTGTATTTTTTGTGTGACGTGAAGGATGATCTGTATAAGACTACAAGCCTAGAGACCGTGGTGAGGAGCTTTGGGTTACAGCTCACTATTGCATGAGCCAGTTCCCATAAAAATCAACAAGAATGTTTTATTAGCTTATGTGAAGGACTGAAGGAAATCATGCTGCCTTTTAGGACAACTAATCTTTGCAGTGCTGTTGCTGGAGGAGCTGGTATCTGTGGTGTTCTGAAGGTTCTATGGGAAGTAATATCCATCTAGTATTGTTAAGTGTCCAGATATCAAGCTACTACTACCTAGTTCAATATTGTAAAACGCACTATAGCATATTGTATAGAGACCCTGTATCAAGATCAAAACTGACATGAATGAACAGGAGAATTCACTCAGAAAATCAGCCTCATCTACTGCACTCTTTTCCTTTTTTTTTTTTTTTTTTTTAAATTTTGCTGACACAAAAGATTTTTCCACTCACAAGGGTCACCAACTTTTACAACTAAAATTTGAAACGCATCTTCCCTAGCTCTTATGAAGTTATATCTGTCTGTATCAATGCTGAATTTGACCCCAAATATTCATTCCACAGCTTTAACATAAAATCTTTTCTCTATTAGCCACCAGTAGTAACAAGAACTTTTAAATTACATTTTTGGTCTGTGTAGAAGCAGGTAATCAATTTAGCTAACAAATCTTTCTCATGAAAGAGAATTGAGTATGGTTCCATTACTGCTAATCCCGAATCCAGTTTTTATTCTTCAGCACTTCTCAAATCTTAAAACCTTTCTCCAATAACGCTATTACAAACTAAACAGACACCCTGTGTAACACACTTTGATGATTACCAAATACTTGGTATTGTCCACGTAGCAGCAGTGCTCATCTCTGCCAGCTGACCCGGCTCAACACAGACTTACTGTCTTCAATGCCCAGTCACACACCTTCACTGCATCCTGGTGGCAGTTTAGCATTCCTCCGTGTCTTTATCGCTGGTGCGGATAGCCCAACAGCCATTTATACTGCCACAAAATGGACTTCAATCTCAGACCCAGGCTTGCAATAGATTTGACCCAGCTTTTGAGGCAGTGAACCGTACTGTATCTCTTTTAAAGATGAGGCACTCAATTAATTGCTATTGGGCTCCAAAACAGCACCTGTCTCTCGCCTGCCTTTTACTGTCGAGTATCACATTCAGTAACAGGATTGCTTTAAGCTGCTCACTTGCAACAACACAATCTCCTTGCACTGTGCCAACACAACCATTTGTGCAGCAACTTAGTAAACCACTTAGGTGAATTGATCCAGCTGGAAAAAAAAATATTCTGGCAAGAAAAAAAACCATGTTTTGTTGGGTCCAACTACTGCTCTGACCTAGGTCACTGCAGGGCTATAAAAGTGTTGATTCCAGCACAGTTCAAGGGACGAGAACATGAGAGAAGCTGGTGGGTGGGAGAGAGGCACAAAAATAAATCATCTTACTGAGTGTTGATTCTTACATGCAGCTGAGAAAAACTATCTGCTCTGTAGACCCTAAGAAACTACCCAGGTGAACAAAGAGAATCTGGTAAGGGCCATGATTTTCTCACTTGACTTCAAATTAACAGCAAAATAATCCCCATAACAAAAATTGGTCATGCCAAATCGAGCATCTTTGTAATACCATACAAACAAGTTATGTCTTCTGTGTTGCCAGAGGGAAAAAAGATTATCTAAATACAGAATGGAGTCAAACACGCAGGAGCTATAGTAAAACAGAACCAGAAAACCAATGCAATAGGATCTTATGTAGCAATGTATACAAAGCCTACATACAACTACTTTAACAAAGATGGCGGGAAATATCCCTGTGCGATTCCCACATTTTCCTCTGTACCACTCAGTATCGATTTTCTCCAAAAGAAAAACGGTGTCTCCAGAATGAAGGTTCAAGTCATCAGCATGCTCTGTAAGACAGCATCATTTCAGTTAATGGTAGTTGTCACACTCACTGATTTTCTCTAACTAAAAGCTTCTTAATAGACAAAACAAGAATGAGTTTTCAAAAAGTCTTAATTATACTTGATAAACCAGTTAGCTTTAACTAAGAGACTGGCACAACTATAGCTAAACCCATGGATTTGAACAACTCTACATGCAGACCTTGCAGGCTGTGCTTCCTCATAATTTTTAAGATCTAATTCCTAAGAAACTTCCCATTTGAAAGTCTTGGAGTAAAACAAGCTTCCAGAATATTCACATGCTACTTACCTGCAGGAAAATCATGCAGGACTACAGCGTGAGGTGTGCTTGTGTCAGGAACTTTTGGAGGGCGGTTTGAATCCTGACAACAACAAATAAATCCAAGTAGTTTATAAATCATGGAAGACACTAAGAGAGATTCTCTGCTATGTACTCTGAAAGTAGTTTTCTGACTTGGGACACGATGTTGTTCTGCTATCAGAGAATCACCTTTGGGGGCAACAGTTAGTATTGGTCACACAGCTATGGGTCTGAATTCTGTATGCCTTTCGCCAGTGTAAACCAGAATGCATTTCACCAATATCCACTTTTGAGCCAGTAAAAGGAAGTGAAGATATGTAACTTTTCCCAGTACAGACAAAGCCTCAGCTATCTGTGTGGGTCAGAAATCTGGACCATTGATAGCAATCCTCATTGCAAGAGTTGTGGCCAAATTTTGCACTGTTGCTCGATACTACGAGCTGCCAGTTACCCTTCCTTGTTGGGAGAGAACACCCCAGCCCAACTCTCCCCAGCACACTCAGCAAGGGCAGCACATCTGCCAAGCATTTCAGAGGGGCGAGCAAGCCACGAGGCCTTTGCTTACAGGAAAATAACGCTGAGGGGAAATGACAATTTTGTTGTGGGATCTTTATAAAGGGAAATTATATCCAAAATGCTAAGCTTTCTTCTCTATCCCACCCACTAGGAATTTTGAGAATGTACTGATGGCAATCACTGTGCGTGAATTACATTCAAAGTATTTCATTGCATACAAAAAGCCCAACCAAAAAAGCCCAACATGGACAAAGATAAGGCCAGAATAATATGAATTACAACAGATAATAACCAATTGGATAGAAATCTATTTCAGCCATGTAGGTTTCTGATAACAATCAAAAAGGCTGCTCAGAGCTATAATTTATACTAGCTATTTAATATTAATACAGTTATGCCCTAGAACCAGGTTATGTTCTATAGAAGCAGAGAGAGGAGAATACTTTGAAGTCCATATGTCAGACCCAATTCACTGATTTGTCATGTACAGCATTTCATAAAACTACTCGTTTATCTTTTGCCCACTTTTCAGATACTCAGCCAAGGGAGCGATTATCTTCTCATGAGACAGAGGAACTTTACCAGTTTCCTCTCCCTTCTGGCACTCCAAGTAATTACTGTTGCTCTGCTCCATAAGCAGAATGTCGCCATGCTATAAGGCAAATCACCATTATTGGGTTTTGTTTTGGTGGATGTTTTGTTTTTATTAAAGAAACACAAGGATTTAATAAACCACTATTACATTTCTCAGTGTAACCTCAGTGTAAGCCTAATGCACTTGATACTTTAATGCAACAGGAGTCTCGCTCATTAAATATTTACCAGCAGAAAAAAATGCCTTACCTTAGAGGACAGTTCTTCAGGGTTCCTGGGAAGACAATTTTCCTTGGCAACTCCATGAGGCACAGGTAGCTTGAATAGAAACAGGAATGGAAGAGTTTGTTTCACTTCTAAGCACCCGAAATTTTCACTGCAAGTGAAAATGGTCAGACAATGGAAATATTCAAATCACCTACTACAGGTAACTAATTTAGGAGTGCAGTGGAAGAGGACAAGCTCCTTCGGGAGGCATTCAGAACAGGACTGCTGGTGATAGGAACTGCCACTTCAAGAAACACAGGTGTTGTCATCTGCTTTAAAAGTGTCTTAGCCACCTAACCGGTATCATACCATATAGTGCATGATATTCAGCAATGCACTGACACAGAAATGAATTGATTTGTCATGTGGGGCACTGGAAAAACAACCTGGCAGGAAAATTTCATTGACGGTAACACTTGAGGGCAGAGAATTACTAGTGATCTCCTACTGAAAAAAAACCTCATCCACAAAACATGTCACAGGTTTCTTATGTAAAGAAGTGTGGCTACACCAGAGAGGAAGCAACATCCTTCCCTTATCTCAAAGCTGCTCCTACTATCAACTTAGATACATCTTTCTCTCTCTTTCTTGCTCCTCTGCTTCACCAAGGAGCTAAATGCAGCAGTGAAGATCAAAGCGAAGGCAACAGAAAGGTTCCATTTCATGCTGAATGTTGATGTTGTTCATGGTACGGTTGTGTGGGTGCTTTTTTTGATAACTCTGGTTCAAGCAGTCACCAGCTCTGATCACTGACCAGTTCAAGTATCTGGAGAAACACACTCTCCTTTTTATCTGTAATGTTGATTATGTTAACGATGAAATAGGGAATATTTAATATTCCCTAACAACACATGCAATACCAAAAGGAAATATTTTTATAACAAAAAGAGATGGCATCAGTAGGATGAAAATGTAAGATAAATGATTTTACATTCCTCACACTTTGTAGGCTTGATTAAGCAAGGAAAACTACTTTTTAAGTTCTAATGCCCTCCAATTTTTTAAGCATTTTGATGTATACAAGGAAAAACAATGTAGAAATGCAATTATTTAGCATCATTTTACATGCTGTAATAGAATTCAGAACTGGTGACTGTAAAATGAACACCCCAAACCCCAAAGTTATGCATTAAAGATATATAAATTACATAGATACACAAAAATACACACACATCTGTACTTTGCATGCATATATTACTTTCTCCAGGATTACCTTACAGTACTTATCACTATTTATCTATCAGTATTTTCTAAGGAAGATTATGCTGATAAATGCACCTTGAAAGCCACATCATAGTAACCCACCTTACTACCTTTTTGACTACCAATTTAACAGCACTGGTTTATAAAGAACAGTCTCAGATATTCTCTCTCAATCCTCACCATGTATTTATTGTAGAGAGGATGACCTGGTTTAGGTCTAGGAGGTAATGCTGGATCTGGATTTTTAAAGACTTGACTTTTTGCTCTCTTGGGTCCCAATCTGAACTTGCTGGTTTTTTTATCGGGAGCGATGTTAGAAGTAGATCGCGAAAGAGCATCCTTCTGGGACGAGGTCTTGGTTGCAGAGAGTTTTGGTGGAGGTGGCCTTCCAGGAACACCTTTAGGTGGGGGAGGTCGAGCAGGTACAATTTTTCCATCCACAGGCCTAAAAATGTGGCAAACCATCAGAGAAATGTGCATATTAATAAGCCCGTTGCCTCGTCCTGCTCCACAGCCCTAGCTATAGGGTATGCAATACGGAAACTTGACTCATGATGACCTGGGCTGTAGAGTGTGTAGTGTCTGAAGCTCTCTGGGAATACATGAACTCTTCAGGTACTGGGACTGGATGATCAAGTCCTTAGACAGATCCTTTGGCTTATATTTCCAAGTCTGCTCACCACTTTCGCTTATGAACAGCCTGCCAGGTTTCTCAGGGGCCCGCTACATAAGCAGGATTTCTTTCAGCAATCCACCTTTAGAAAGAGCTTTGTCTGAAGCTGCCTCAGGACAAAGTTCTTCCAGTGGAGAGCTTTAGTGACAGCCCTGAGAAGCTCTGCTGATCTAGCTAGTCTTCAGGGATCAGCCTAGCGCATTCCCTGGGACATCATTTACCTGAAGTGATTTTTGGACATCTGCTGAAACTCATGACATATGACCCCACTTTGCACAATAGAAGAATTTACCATTTTTATGCAGCAGATGTCTACTGCAGAAAGAAAACACTGGTGAAAATACTCAAGTTTTCTGGCAATGCTGGAAGTACCACACTCTCATTAGTGTACCGATAGTTTAGAAACCAAAATCAGAGACTAGTAAGTGACAGTGGTAATTTAAAAAAAAAAAATTAAAAAATCTAAAAAATGCTTAGTAAAGCATTGATAAAAAAATCTGCCTATACAGTACACACAAGCCATGATTTTTAGAATCAAAGAGTGTGGCCAAATCAACAATTTGCTAATTAAAAATCACCTCTGTTATAAACAAACTTTATCTACATAAAACTTTGGCTTCCTGTTATTAAGAACCCTGGTACTACCACTATTCCAAAAATAGAATATTGTTTGACTGTTGTTCAGAAATCTCCGGCCAGTTACTGCAATTTTATGCTACAATTGTCTCTCTTTTTTTCATGTAGTGTAATTCAGCATAATTATTTGCTTGCATGAATTCCTCAAGGGTCTTTAAAAATTTTCAACCACAACAAACGTGCATTAGTGGATCTTTGGAGTATCCTGACATATTTTGTGAGTGTTGTCCACCACTTGAGAAGATAGTAGTGCTCTACTAATGCTGCTGCTAAGTCCTCTGTTACTATTTAAGTATAGATTATTTTTTAAATCTCAAAAAAAAAAATTCCACTTTTGTTCAACTTACACCTCTCCCCCTTTCTTCACCTCATCCTAAACTAAGCATTTTAATACTGACAAAAGGGGTAAGACTGCATTAAATCTGGAAACAAACCAATCCATACGTTTGTAAGGCAACTCAAGTAAACAAGAAAACCCTAACAAGCAAGTAAGAGAATTATTACTGCTTACTTAAAAAAAAAAAAATATCCATTTGAACAGAAGAGTGAAAGGACAAAGTGTTTACTGCAGTTCCAGAGACCCTTGGGAGAATTAGGAATGCTGTTATGCTAAACAGAACGGGGGAAGGTAACAAGCCCCTAAGGGGCAATAATGAGGTGTTTCCTTGTGGGTACAACCACATTCTTTCCTGTTAATAAATATTATTATCGGTAGACTAAGTTTAATAACTGAAAGATTCTCTTGTCCTGAACAACAGAGCAAATTCTTGTGTTTAACCCCATAGATTTAGAGAACAGATACCGAGACAGCCACAGTAGGCTAGCTAGACAATGCCTTATCTCCCTCCAGTTTGTCTCTGGCATTTAGTGGACCTGAATTTAAGACTGGTCCAGCTACTTTTGCCTCTGCAGACCTTCCTTCTTGTTGCTTCAAAAGAATAAAAAAAAAAAAAGGTTATCATTGATTCTGCACCTTCACAGGCATTTTAGGTCTGAAATGAACTGTATAAACTAGCCAGTGCTTCTGGGAAGGTGCTGGCCCAGCATCTGCTCTTTTCAGGGTGGCAGCATCTGCCACCTTCATTCCTTCACCACTCAAACCCAGCCACAAGTGCAAGTGCTGTTGATCAAAAGGTCAGCAACATGCAGGAGGGGATGTTCTACGTTCAGCTGCGGGTGGAAAGGTTAAAGATGTAGAAAGGAATGACTGTCAGCAGCCACTGTACATTAGCTGAAGAGTCAAACAGCTGTCCTCCTATAATCTCCCCGCTCATACCAATAACGTACAAACAAGTATTTATCAGCTAGCAACTTGGTCCTGCCTATTTATTAGTGAGCATACTACCTACCCAAGCCTATTGAGTTAGGACTAGAGCTGGTAGCGCCTACACTGAACTAGGCAAACTAACTCAGAAGCACCACTTTTAAGTGAGTCACTGAAGAGTTGCACTTACCTTGGGGGTAGTACAGGTTCTAGCTGAGGCACTCCACCCTGTTCTGAACGATCCAACTCCTACAAAGAGTCAAAAGAAAAAAAGCCATTTATTTAAGCCTAAGAAACAAAAATTACCTTGTTTAAATGATGCATTTCTTATATTATATCCTACCGATTGGAAAAAACAAGAGTTTCTGGAGTCTGGGAATAAAGTAATAAGTATTATGGTGTGTTCTAGCATTTTAAAGTCTTGTTGGACATAGAAGGAGAGGTAAATAACCTGGCTGACTACCTGAATCACATGTGCATTAGATATGACCCAGCCCTCTTTTTCTACTACATGGGAGTCAGGGCTTAAGAACCAAATTCAGGAGAGCAGTACAAATCTACAATTTCACTGCCTGTAGGATTCCAACTGCCACAGTGACATTATCAATTTTGATTTAACTTTGACAGATGAAACCCTTTGAACAGGCTTAAAGCATAAAACATGACATTGATGCAACTCACACAGGACAGCATCTCTTGCAAATAACATTAGCTCTCATTAAAGAAGGTATCTAAGTATGTTTCCTAGAGATCTAACCGATAAACCCTGGTGAATCTTGCTTTGGCAGATTAAGGTGTCACTCCTCCCAGCTGCCCATCCTGACCCTGCCAAAGATTACTACCCTGTAGCAGAGTCAGCAGAGGGAAACATGTGCCATGTCTGAAGGGCTTGGACCACAGTAATGGATTAACAAGTTACCATCCTTTCTGCCTCCTGCTGTTCATTTTCATCCCAGTGCCAGAGAGTACTGCCAACTCCGCTGAACAAGCACAGCTGCTGGTGGAGCAGCGTGGTAAATCAGAGTGCTGAATCTGGGTTCAAAAGTATCCTTTTTGAACCAGTAATTTTAAATAAGTCTGAACAGTCTTGTTTACTTAATTAGGGATACATGTGCTTGGAACCAGTAAACAATTTATTTGATTTTTCCCACCCAAAATATACCTAGATATATTTTGTGACATAATTTTGACCCCTGATTAAGTCCCCAAATGAACGCTCCTGATTAAATGATCCTGATTAGAAAGAAAACAACCTGCCACTTTCAGATGGGGATGTTATCGTCATACCAGAAATTTTCCTCTTCTGTATGAAGAGGAAGAAATCTGTGCCAACTGCTGCTTACAGTCAACATTTTTTACTGTTGCTGGTTAATCACTTCCACCAACAAGCAATACTAGTTTTAGAAGCACAGAAGTTCTTATCTTTCCAAAGATAAGATTTAAATGTTTCAGTGGAGTTGATGCAGTCTTCTTCTTAAAAAAAATCCTCTGAAGCTTACACACACCTGCCACAATAACCTAGATGACATTGTAAAAATTTGGGGGTTGCACTGTATAAAATTATATTTAATGTCTTGTATTGGAAATTATTTTTTCAGCATTATCCAGAAAATATGGGACCTCTATGAATAGCCTCTTCAATCATGACATTTAAAAAACCCTTTATCCTATTAGCAGAGGTAGCCACAAAGGCATTTGCTGGAAGCTGTCTATCCAGTGAGGGCTTCTGATTTGATTTGATTTGATTTGATCTTTTTACTGCCTGTGGTTTCCCTGCCATTCTTGCCATCACAGCACTCAATATTTGGAAACTCTACTGTCATTTTCTAGTTTATTTTGTAAATCTGTGTCAAAGGGTATATAGGATACACAGCTATGTCTTCCCTTACGATGTGCTCAGGAGTGAGGAGCAGAACCTTACTTTCCAAAATAGATGGTTCTACTCAGGCTCTGACAGGACCAGTAGAAAAAACTCTAGAAGAAGAGAGCTGAAGAAAGCAAGCTTCATTCATCTACAGAAAAGTTTCCTCTGCCTGAAAATTAGCACAGACACAAAGAGGTACTGTGTGTATGAAAGTAAAAAAGATACATTTCTAAAGGATGATATTCACTATGTAAATCTCATTGGACTTCGAACCACTTTGCAGTGCTTTTGAAACTAAATTGTAGAGTATCCTGATTCCAGCTACTAAATACAGAAAATTGAAGATAGATGTGATCAAAGTTTAGTGAAATCAACAAAGTGCTTTTCAGAACTGACAGCAGTCTAAATTACCTAATTAAATTAGAGGATGCAATTAGAATAAAAAAGCCTTATATTTTTGAGTAGTCCCTTTCATCCTTTGGTCCTTCAAATAACTTACTTTACAAATGCTTGAGAGTCACAAGACATCTGTTAACCAGAGCAGACAAAGTTCTAATGCAGGGAAACAGTTCTAACTTACCACTTTTTTTACTATGTCAGCACTGTTGGATTTTCCCGCTGTGGTATC